GCAGAGGTCAGACACCCAGGGTTCAGTGTCAGGGGTCACACATACAACCTGTTTTCAGGGTCAGCCAAGGTAGAGGGTCAGAAGTCACACATGCAGCCAGGGTACAGTCAGAGTTCAGGGCAAGAAGTCACACACTTTCAGCGTCAGATCACATATGCAGCTAGTGTTCAGGGTCAAAGGTCACACCGTCAGACTTCAGGACAAGAAGTCACATATACAGCCAGGGTTCAGGGTCAGAGGTCACACAGCCAGTGTTCAGGGACAGAAGTCTCATATACAGGCCAAGGCTCAGGAGCAGAGGTCACACATGCAGTCTGGGGTTTAGGCTCAGAGGTGACACCCGCAGCCAGGGTTCAGGGGTCACACATGCAGCCAAGGTCCAGAAGTCACTTGTGCAGCCAGGGTTCAGGGTCAGAGGTCACACCTGCAGCCAGGATGCACACATGCAGCCAAGGTTCAGAAGTCACATGTTCAGCCAGGGTCAGAGGTCACACCTGCAGCCAGGGTTCCGGGTCAAAGGTCACTTACCAGTATACTGTCCACTTTAATTTGCACGGCTTTTCTGTTGATAGAAATGAGAACAATCAGTAAACATCCATCAAACCTGCGAAGGCCGAAAAACGGGAAATGTATTTGCTACGAAAAATGGCCAGGCTCCGCCCCTTCTGTGCTGTGACACCACTAGGACCTTATTATGTAATAAGAGTGTACGCTCAGCGGCCGAGTGTTCTCGGGGGGACTACGCCGGCGGTGTTCGGGATGGGAAGAGCCTTACGTGATGCGGCTGCACAGTTTCTGCAGGAGGTTGATGGGCTGAGTGGTGGCCCCATGAATGACATTCCCCCGTGTTTGGTGGCCCCGTGTGTGACATCCCCCCGTGTCTGGTGGCCCCCTGGGTGACATCCCCACCGTGTCTGGTGGCCCCCTGGGTGACATCCCCCTGTGTTTGGTGGCCAGTGGGTGACAATGCCTTGTGTCATGTGGCCCCCGTGAGTGACATCACCCCCTGTCTGGGGACGCCTTAGGTAATGTCACTCTTTATCTGGTGGCCCTGTGGGTGAAGTCCTCCTGAGTCTGATGAACATGTGGGTAATGTTGCCCCGTGTCTGGTGGCCCTATGACTAGGCACTCCGTGGGTGATGTTACCAGACACAGTTGATGATTTCACTCTGTGTCTGGTAACCCTGTGGGTGACGTCACTCTGTGTCTGGTGACCCCGTGGTGATGTAATTCTGTGTCTGGTGACCCCGTGGTGATGTAATTCTGTGCCTGGTGACCCCGTGGTGATGTAATTCTGTGCCTGGTGACCCCGTGGTGATGTAATTCTGTGCCTGGTGACCCCGTGGGGATGTTGCTCCCTCTCTGGTGACCCTATAAGTGATGTCGCGCCGGGTCCGGAGGGTAATTTCTCCCCCAGCACGTCACCCCGGCTATGAGGTTTTCTCTGTCTCCCAGCTCAATGTCAGCCCAAAAAGGGGTGGGGTTTGCCCCTCCCGTCTAGCCACGCCCAAAGGGGGGGCGTCGAGGGACGAAGTGCTCTTCTATTGACCCCCCAGCCAGTGGCGCCATTCCCAGGAATCACCTACCGCCGTTCCGGAGCCTCCGCACTCTCCGCTTTTCTGATTTTATCCTATAAACACATGAAGGCTCACCAGAAAGGGGGCGTGTGTAATGATTAATTAAATCCCTGTTGGGGGTGGAATCTGAATCACACCAGTGTGCACAGGAGCCCTGCAGACAGGAGGAATCGCCATCATTGCACAGTAAAAGTGTTCCGTATAACCCGCCAGAGACAGATTCAGCATAATTGTCACTGTGCTCCTGACCAGCAGCCTCTTGACGTAGAATCTGATGCTGGGGTGCAGTTTTGGCGCTGGGATGGCAGTGGCCCCCAGAGGGGGTTATCCATCCGACTCTCCATCATAACTCTTGTCCGTTCTGAGTTTACCTGTAGCAAAATCCTGAGCTTTTGAATTATTTTTTCTGTGCCCCGTTACTTCCTGTCCTGGTGACACCACAGGAAGTGAGAGGGAATCTCCTTATTGTGGACACAGCAAAAACCAAAAAAAAAAAAAGGTTCTGCTCTGTCATCTCCTTCCCAATCCCCAGGGAGGTACCAGGCCTCACAGGGGCTCATTCACCCAGGCGAGAAGCCTCGGATTGTAGCAGCCACACTTTCTAGAGTAGCGAAGCTGAGCTTATTTGGCTTTACAGTGAATGACGTCCCGGTGGCTACAGGCAGCCCGAGAGTCAGCTTCCATCTGAGGCGTCTCACAGGGGCAGGATGGTTTCCCTTTATTGTGGGCGGAGTTTACTTTGTCCCAGTTGCTGGGCGACATAACCAGTTCACCAGTAAACACAATATATGACATCCGGGATGTTGGGAACCCCTTATAATGTAGGGGGGAGGGATCCCGTGGGCAGAGCTGGGAACTCAACACAGGGATAGGAGAGACTATCAGGGTAGGTTGACTCTCCGGTATCCACCAAAGATTTTCATTTTAGGGCGCAGTAACTCTTTCAATAATTTGCGCAAGAACGTGTCATAGCGTAACTCCCATCCCCCGCGGTGTGAATGAATGAATACAGGTGAACTCGGTGAGTCCCCTCTCCAGTTATGGTGGAGCGGGCCCTTTAATAGAGATATATGATTACAGACAGTAGTAATCACACACAGAAGGCTGACATGTGATATGAAGCCAGTTCCTCATTGGTCAGGGCTCAGCAGGTGGCGGTGCAGATACTGTAGGTAAGACAGACAGTAGTAATCGCACACAGACGGCGGACATGTGACGCGAAGACAGGTCCTCATTGGTCAGGGCTCAGCAGGTGGCAGTGCAGATAGTGTAGCTAAGAAAGACAGTAATAATAACACACAGAGGCAGACATGTGATGTGAAGACAGGTCCTCATTGGTCGGGGCTCAGCAGGTGGCAGAGCAGATACTGTAGGTGGAGTAATCACTATAATAACAGGGATCTCAAGTCTCCCTGATGTTCAGGGAGTCTCCCGCTATTAGATAGCGACTCCCTGATGTCCACGAGAGAGGCATTTTCTCCCTGAAAAGTACTCTGAGTAAACCTTTCCGGTAAGATATCAGTCGTTAAAGTTTCAGAGTGAGGATTGCCTCCTGGAGGAAGGTCATGTGATCTCTAGAGTAGCCTCAGAACGAGGCTTGGCTCTCAGAAGGAAGGTCATGTGATCTCTAGGAGTAGCCTCAGAACGAGGCTTGCCTCCTGGAGGAAGGCCATGTGATCTCTAGAGTAGCCTCAGAACGAGGCTTGGCTCTCAGAAGGAAGGTCATGTGATCTCGAGAGTAGCCTCAGAACGAGGCTTGCCTCCTGGAGGAAGGTCATGTGATCTCTAGAGTAGCCTCAGAAGGAGGCTTGGCTCTCAGAAGGAAGAAGCTACTTGCTGCACAGAGAGGGCGGACATAGACTACTATTGAGAGCAGGTACAGGCACTGAGATCTACTGCTGCAGGGTTGAGAGAGTGCTGTTAACCCTTTGTGGATAATATAGAAACAATTATATGTCCTGGTTGTCCAGTTATAGAGAACATTTATTTCATTTGCTGCCCATAGCAACTAGTCTACTGTGTATCAGGGGCTTTACTCCTCAGCTTTTTTAAAAAAAAAGGTCTCGGGCTGTCTAATAAATTGTGACCATTACACTGACAGATACTTGAACATCAATTCACAAATCTGATGTATATATAATATTATTGGTATATGGATTTTATTGTACTGTGTGTCTGTGTGTATATATATATATATATATATAATTATCATTATTTCTTTTATATTCTGACAGCCGCTGTAAAAAAAAACAAAACAGAAAGGGCACCTCCCTGAAATGAGACGGGACCCTCCCTGAAATAAGGTTTTGCAGGTGGGGATGTCTGTAATAATATATTTCGGGGAGGGACATATATGAATCTTCAGACATTGCTCCTGTGTGCAGGTAAGAGGTGACACCGTCAGGGAATGATATATCGGTTACATGGGCAGGAGCGCAGTGTGGGGGAGGGGTTAGATCCAGATGTCGGAGCTGCAGTCTCCTCCTTCATAGCGGCACTCGTGGGCCAGAGCTGGACCGTCCGGCTCCTTCCCGAAATCCACCAGGAAGTCCTGGTTCACCGAGAGAGGGGTACCAAAGGGGAGGAGAGAGGACAGATGGGGACCAATGGGGAGGAGAGAGGTCAGAGGAGAGCCTGAGGGGGACAGGAATCCCTTATCAACAGGTAGATATGGGGCGCAGACAGTAAAGGGGAGAAGATTGGGGGGGTCTCTTACTTGATCATGTCCGGGTAGAACTGTTTGTCCCAGGCGCTGTACAGAGAGTTTGTGCCGTACAGCCTCTTCCCGTCCAGGCTGAGTTGGATCATCTGGGGTCCCCCCGGAATCTTCTTCCCCTGCACAGGACAGGCCACATTTATTATATCTACATGCTCACCAGTGATGTCTGCATGGCATTTCCCAGGGCAGGTTTCCTGATGGTGACAACAGTGGACCGTGCAATATGCATTGAATGGCCCACTTGTAGTCACCATTGGAAGCCCCTGTGACCAGGTGACAACTCAAGATTGCAATTAGGAGACAGGGACACAGCGTTGTCACCCTACAACAGGAAGTATCTGCCTTCATCGCAGGCTCACTGCGGATCACTCTAATGCAAGCCGCAGATTTATGAAATGACATGAACGTGTGAAAGCTCCTATGAGATTTCAGTGATCGGGCATACATGATAAATTGCACTTAAGGCATGCTAAACTGGACGCTCGGAAAGTACGATCCACACACAGGACAATCGCTCGTACCGCAGACATTCCAATCTGATCCGATGAGAAACTTCCCATCAGATGGGATGTTCAGAACATGACGGGGGTCCCCTCCAGACATGCTGCAATCACTCATCAGGCTGTGAGATGTGCAGAGGAGACCATTGTAGAGACTCAGAGAGGAGGAGGAAATAGAAGGGGGAGGGGCACAAAGAGTCTCACCCATGTCGCTGCTTTCTCGCTGTTGTCGTGCTCAGACTCTGAACTTTGCCAGCACGCTCCTATATAGTCTGGGGAGGGGGCGGAGCTGAGGGCGGGGCACCACGAAGGGGGATGAGGGGGGAGACCTGACATTGCCGTATGCCTGAAGTGCATTGCAGGGATCAGAACTGACAACATCAGTCCCACAATGCACACTGCTCAAAGGTCATGTGACCCCCCCCACCACCAGCTGTGCCCATTATAAGGGGCCCCCACTATTCCCCCTACACCCCCCAACCCTACACACCAGCTGTGTCCATTATAAGGGGCCCCCACTATTCCCCCTACACACCAGTTGTGCCCACTATAAGGGGCCCCCACTATTCCCCCTACACACCAGTTGTGCCCATTATAAGGGGCCCCCACTATTCCCCCTACACACCAGTTGTGCCCGCTATAAGGGGCCCCCACTATTCCCCCTAGTCAGAACCCTGCTGAATGAAAGCACGCTGCTAGTGGCATGAGTAGTCGTAATACGTTTCCGTGAGACCCAGTAAGCAGAGTCCCATCTCCGGCTGTTTGTCATACATCAGGAGCCCGGATGTGAAGTGCGTGATCTCTACCCAGAAGGTCTTAATTCCCAAAACACATGACTAAATCCCGCAGGGGAAGAGGCACACCTCCAACACGCCGCTGAGCTCGTGCTATATATCCGGGTTAGTCTCGCGGGAGTGTAGTACACCCTGTGCAGTCATTTATTCTGTATTAGTCTATCTCTAGCCGAAATCAAATGTGCGAAAGGATAGTCCCAGGCCTCCCTCCATTCCTCCTCATCTAAGTCCCGTACCCCTCTACACCACTGTGCCCCGCAGCTATTCAGGGGGCTGAATCTGGCAGGAAATAGAGTCCTGTAGACCGCTGATAATGGCTTACGAAGCCCCTGGGTTCTCAGCATGCACTCCAATGAGGAGGCACCGAAGCTCCCCGATGTGGGTGCAAACTGAGCTTGGAAGGCACGGGAGAGTCGCATATATCGGAAAAGAAAGGATCCTATCTGCGAAAATCGCAAGACGCCCATCAGCGAGTATGTCCTCCAACTTTTTAATGCCCCTCCTGGCCCAGACATGACAGTCCGGTATAGTGTGGAAGTGCTCCAGATTCGGGTGGTGCGGTGACGCAAGCAGCTCTCCTCCCCCCAAGTACACCTGCTGCCACGCCTTCAAGGTAGCCCGCGTGGAGAGTGTGAGGTCATACGGGGCCCCGAATCCCCTATATACCAGGGACGACAAGGCCTCATAGGAGCCCAAGCCCGCCGCCTCCAGCACCACCGCAGAGTCACCGTCTTCCTCCACCAGCCACCTGTGCACAACCACCATTTGTCCAGCCAGATAATATTTCCTCATATCAGTCAGCGCCGGTCCTCCACCCGTCCAAGGTGCCTGCAGGATTGGCATCCGAAGCCCCGGCACCTGCGAGCCCCACACAAAGTCCCGGAACATGCCAGTCACCCCTCGGAAAAAACTCGTAGGTACCCAAACCGGGGAGTTGCGTAAGAAATACAATAACACAGGAAGAACCTTCATTTTAAGCAGACTGACCTTCCCGAGCATGGAAATAGGCAAGTGTTTCCACGCCAACAACCTTCCCTTACTCTGTGCAAGAGCCGGGGTCAGATTCAAGGATTGGTAATCTCCAACCCTAGCCGAGATCTTAACTCCTAGGTATGTGATCTGTGAGACCCACTGCAGAGGGACTGATCCATCCGCCGAGGCAATAGCGCCGTCATCTAGGGGCAGGATATGGGATTTGGCCCAGTTAACTCTCAAGCCAGAGAACACCAAGAATTGATCCAGAATCCTCAGCGCCTCTCTAAGCGATGGGCCTGTGTCCTCCAGGAACAAAATGAAATCATCCGCGTATAGAGCGAGCCTCTCCTCAATAGTCCCCACCTTGAACGCTTCCAGCGCCGTGGACTTACGCAAGGCCGCAGAAAGGGGTTCCATCATTAGTGCAAACAAGCCCGGCGACAGGGGACACCCCTGGCGGGTACCCCTCCTCCCCGGGAATCTATCTGATAAGGCAGAGCCTATTTTCTACAAAATTTAGGGCCAAATCCCATATGGTGCAAGACAGACCCCATGTACCCCCAGTCTACGGAGTCGAAGGCCTTCTCAATATCTAAGGAGACCAGAGCCCTAGACCCTACAGTAGTGTGGGTGAGATTTGTGAAGACCCTGCGCAGGTTAGTGTCAGTGGACGTTCCTGGGATAAATCCCGTCTGGTCAATATTAACCGGGGAGGAGATGACCCCCCCCCAAGTCTCATCGCTAGGATCTTGGTCAGAATCTTCAAGTCCATATTTAAAAGAGCTATGGGGCGGTAGGAGGAGCAAAGCAGTGGGTCCTTCCCCGGTTTTGGTATTAGGACCACATTTGCCTCATACAAGGAATCCGGTAGTCTCCCCTTTGCCAAACAAGAACTGCACAGTTCCTGCAATCGCGGGGTCACCTGCGATAAATAGCATCTATACCATTCCGCTGGCCGGCCACCCGGGCCCGGGGACTTACCAGCCGGGAAGGAACCAATGGCCCTCTCTATCTCCCGGACCGAGATCTCCCTATCCGACTGCCCAAGACAAGGAAGCCCCAGCCCTCCCAGTAGTGAGCTGAGTGCGTCCCCGTCATAAGCGCACTATAATACAATCTAAATTCCTCCTGACCGGATCTGTCACTCGCTCTCCCAACGCTGTGGTGATGCACGGGACATTTGTTAGGGGATGATGATCTGCCACCAACCGGGCCAACCATTTACCATTCTTGTCTCCCTGTTCAAACCTCGCCTCTGCTGCCTCTCGGAGGGAACAGCCCGTCAGGGTCTGAAGGTGCACCTGTAGAGCCCTTCTCGCCACTCTAAGTGCCCCCCAGGGAGTTTTCACCGGGAGAGGCCACATAGGCATCAGCACACTCCTCCTCCGCCCTCTGCAACTCCTCCCGTTCTTTGGTGAAGTCCCGCCTAGACACTTTTATGTTGGAAATATATTCACCCCTGAGGTACACCTTAAATGCATCCCAGACTATGGCCGGCTCTGCCGACCCCTCGTTGTGGGCCCAATATTTCTCCACCAGGGGTGTTACTCTGCCCGCCACTCCCTCCTCCCCCAGCCAACCTGGC